GTTTTTCATCGAAATGGTAACGTTTAAAATTTTACCTCCGATCCATTGAATGGGTGCTTGAGAACACCCTTAGTCCGTTTTAAAGGTTTTTTTTTTTATAAAAAGGCAATTAATATACATACATGCAAGTGTATGTTTTAGTAAAGCCTTGCAATTATTGTTCACGGGTCACCCGTCGGGTGACCCACCCGTTTCCACCCGGGTGGCCAAAACTCCAACCAGGTCACCCGCTAACCCGCGGGTGACCCGGTTAGCACCTACCCGGGTCCAATCACTAGTTAGGACAGTAATGTCCATGTCATTTGCTTACTTTTCAAATAATCTCGAAATGACCAGTTATTTTTGATCGTTTGAATTTTGATTAATTGACATTTGAGTCATTTTGTCATTTATATAGCCAACCAACCTATTAAAAGGTAGAAAATAATATATAGGTAAATGTATGGAATAATTAATCAATCTCAACATCATCACATAATTAGATTACTGAATTTGATGCCTTAAATTTTAAATCTAATTATATTTTTATTTATTTTAAATCGAGAAAAAGTATGTCCAGTGATATAAATCGCCTAATACGATAGTTATTTTAGTTAAAGTTATTACCAACTCACTTACGTGCAAATTTTAGGACATACATACCATCTCTGGTTTGGCGCGACAGTATCGCATAGTTGCCTTATCAAATATTATAAATAATTGTGTATAATGATAACACAGTACAAAAAGTAATCCTTAATGTTAATAATACTTAATTTTGTATGATACATTTTCTTATATATTTGCTTGATAACTAATTCTGATTGACTAAAGGTGTCATATCATAAGTTAAGTAAATACGGTTAAAGCTCAGTTACATCTTCATTAAATTATATCTCAACCTAGAATAAATGTCCTATATTTGTTTGATTTTACCTTAGTTATATATCCAAAAACTCTTTGGACAAAAAAGGGAGATATAACTGAGGTTTGACTGTATCAATTAACCCCGATAGGTTATCAGTTATTCGACTTGAAAATGACGACCGGTGACTAGTCATTTGAGTCATTTCAATCATTTATCATTCCTGGATTGAACATGCGTTAAACGCTAAAATAATTGCACATATAAATTAAATTTGAAGAATGTGCTTATGTATATTATTATTTTTAATATAGTGAAATACTTAGTAATAATTCTAATATGCCGTAAATTCTCAAAATAGTGGAACACAGAACGCAGTGATCATCACATCACATGCATGACGTCATTTGTTTACTAGCACTAAAAAATTAGCCTAAACTATCCTATCACCTAACCATAACACTAACCCTAACTTAGGCCGAACACTTAATCATGTGATGTGATGATCACAATATCACTAGATCCCTTGTTCTTGAAACTACCCGAAGTTCCATCTCTATTCGTTGGAGTTCCAGCTCTATTTGCTGGAGTTCCTTGGCTTACTTCATTAAATGTGGAAACCCAAGAATAAGTTTCTGTATTAAATATATAAATATATACCCATGGTTGTACAACCACTTGGCTGGTTTTTCGTCCTAAAAAAAAAAAAAATACATATATACATCAAATAAATTTTATATAGATTAATGTTTCGGGCGAGACCAAATATTTCGCCAAATCCGAATCCGAAATAAGGGCGATATTAATTTCGCCGATTATACAAATTTCCGAAATTTCCGATACTTCCGAAAATGTTCGATAAAATCCGTAATAGCCCATAATCCGATATTGTATATACATATGACTCTTAACGTATTATAAATTTAATTCGCTGCATTACATACGTAGTACCCTGAACTCTTATTGTTATGTGAACCTGAAATATTTTAAACCCGATTTATTACTGGAAGTAAATTTGTTTGCTAAGAACATAGGTCAGTTTATACGGAATTTATAGAAAGACCGTTCTTTTCAGTCAGCAGACTCTTGAAATGTAAAAAAAAAAAGTTCCGAATAAGTAATAATAAACATGACTTTCAATAGAAGTATCTAACACATGAAATTGTATGAGAATTCAACTTGCGGAAACTTGAAAAATTCGTTCAATATCTTTGATAAGATCGGGAACCAATCAATGAAATCATTAATAATGATTATCGATTACGTATAATTGACCCTGCAGCTAGTAATCAAATTTGGAAAATTTCTATCGTATTAATTATAAATTGTGACTAGATAGATAACAAGAAATGACAAGTTTAGCAAAACCTTTACCACCCAAACGGTAAAGGTTCTCATTAATATTTGGATCTGGATGTACTTAAGCATATACCGTTAATTTGGTGACCTTTGAACTAGATATACGATTAATAAAAAGCTTCAAGGTTTAAACTCTGTAATCAGTTATCATTTATATGCAAATTTGATTCAAAATTTCTGCTATATAAAGGGTTGGGTTTTATTATCTTTCAAGAAATGTGTAATCTAGTCAAAATTATTTAACCCATAATCCCACGGTATGAAAACTAGAAAACCCCAAATATGGTAGATAAATCTGCCTTTGCTAAAAAAAAAAATTCCAGGTCAAGGTCTAGACAAAGAGATTTTAAAAAAATTATGTGTAAATAGTACTAATTTTTTTTTTTAAAAAACAAACAAACAAACAAAGCATACTAGACCTGCTAACAAATTGCTAAAAAAAAAGATTCAGGTTCATTTTAAAAAAATTTCATGTGAATGGTGACAATTTTTTTTTTCAAACCCGTTAAATATATGTGTACGTTTTATGTGTGCTTTTGGTATATTGTAACTTCCTTATTACCGTATTAAGAATTTTATCATGAAGAAATCAAATATACCATGATCTGGAATATTGATTAAAATATCTTTAAATAGCAATGTCTAAAAATTTAGTTAAATGAGTTTTTTTGAAATTCAAAACACAATATGGCAGAAAACTCTAATACTCTCTCTGTTAATCCAATTGATACTTCTATGCGAAAATCTAGTGGTAAACCAAAGTCAATTGTATGGGGAATACATATTAAGCAAGGAACCCAAATCTCTAAAGGTCATTGGAGTGCAACATGTAACTATTGTAATGAATTTTGGTACAAAGGCTCTCCTGCCTCTCTTTAAGATCATTTAGATAATTCGTGTAATAAAGCTACACCAGATGTTCGTAACCTATTTTTAGAGCGATTAACTACAAGAGCACTTGATGTAACATCAAAAAAACGAAAATTAAATGTTCAGTTACAACTTTCTGACTTTGTTGAAAGTACCAAGTTAACACCAGATCATATTAAAGATATAAATAAAGCCTTAGTAAAGGCATTTATTGTTGTAGAATCCCTTTTTATATTATTGAGAATCTATTTTTTGTGGAGTTATTAAAAACATTACATCCAGCATATGAACCGCCATCTAAAGATATTCTTTCTGGTCACTATTTGGCACAAGAAACAGCATTTGTTAATCAAGCGATGATCAAACAACTAAATAATTCAAAAAATTTAACTATTGGTAAATTATTTATTTAGTTACACCAAATAAATCTTGATTACTTGCAGATTTTATTTAGTATCGCTATTTTTGTTTGTACATACGTACATATATAAAATTTAATTAAAAGTTTTTATTATTTAGCATGTGACGGCTGGAGTAATCCTTCTAATAAATCGATTTGGAACTCGTTATATATACACCAGCTCACTATCAATATTTGTGGAGTCTTCAAAATCTATCAAGTGAAAGACATATACAAGAATTTTTGGCAGAAGAGATTATTAATATTTTGGAAAAAATTAGACCTGAAAAATTTTTAGCTATTGTAACAGATTCAGGTGCTAATATTAGGGCCGCACATCATATTATTGCAGAACAATATCCAAATATCTTAAATATCTGATGTATTTCCCATGCCATTAACCTTATTTCAAAAGATATAAGTAAAATATCATTTGCAGATCGCATGCTTAAGCGTTGTAAAACCTTGGTTAGTTATTTTAAAAGAAACCATCTTGCAGGTAATTAAAAATATTATTTAAACTATACTGCTGGTATTTAAAGTCTCTAGATCAAAAATTTAAAAAAATTTATTAATATGATTATAGGAAGTACTCTTAAAACTCTAGCAGAAGAAAATTCAATTGAAGGAGGTAGCCTTAAACAATGGGTAGATACTCGTTGGCATACTATATATAATTGTATATCCTCTGTTATAAGGCATAAAGTTCCATTAGAAAAAGTTAAGTAAAAAATTTTATTTGTTATAAATTGTATGGTTATTAATCAAAATTCTAAAGTTGTATATAATAATTTAATTTATTAGATTCGTAATAATAATTCAGATATTCTAAATACTTCAGTACAAGCAATCTTATGCACTAAAGCATTTTTTAATGACTTAAATGCTTTGGCATTTGTGCTTTATCCTATTAAAATGGCAATATTAACTCTTGAATTATGAGATTGTTCGTTGGCTGATTGCTTTGTTGGTCTAGTTCGTTTGGAGATGGCTATTAAAAGACTTCCAAAAAATGATTATCGTAATTTTTGTCGCCAAGCAATTGCAATATATAATAGAAGATTTGCTAAATTCGACGATGATGCATATATTTTATGCTTTTTTTTTACATACTGGTAAGTAGTTATTTTGTTTACAATTTAATATATTTTTATTTATTGGTGAATTTATTTTGATTTAGATATCGTATGGGCACAAGGAACTTTTCGACGTATTCTTCTTGCAGCTGATAACTTCTATGAAAAAATGAGTAAAACTCAAAAAAAAAGAAAAATGTTAATGTCTCAATTGAGAAATTATCAATACCATGCTGTGCCATTTGATATATCTTTTGCTGATAATGAAACTCCTATGATGTGGTGGATTTCTCTTGAAGACAATTTCTTAAAAAATGAGGATCATATTTGCCAATTAGCTAATAAACTATTCTCAGTAACACCACATGCAGCTGGGTGCAAAAGAATTTGGTCAACATTGGGGTGGTATTATGGCAAACATTGCACAAGACTTTCCTTAAGTAAAATTGAAAATATGCAGAAGCTTTCTGCATTTTATTTTGCGAACTCAAAAAAAGAATTACAATATTTTTCCGCTAATAATAATTATGATGAATTACATGAAGCATTATCTAATATGAATCTTGGTGATAATGATGATTATGACAAAGAAGAACAACCCACCAGTGAAGAAGTACAAGATGATGAGTTTCCAGAAGAAGACATGCTTAGAATTGAGGAATTATTGAATATTGATGTAGCTGATTTTACAAATGGATTAGGTGAAATAGTTTTTAATGCTAACTTCGAGTTTTCTGAAGAAGATATTCATGTTCAAAATAATGATGTCAAGAGCAATGCTGATGAGGGAAATTGGGATCCTGAAAAAGAGGCTGAGTCAATGTTAGATTAGTCAATATAATAACCCAATAACCATAATTCAATAAACATAAATTTTTTGATTCTTTGATTCAAAATTTGTTAATAATAATAAGAAAAATTCTATTCTAAAAAATCATTAAAACCTAAAGATTTAGAAAATCAATAAAATTTCTAAAATCAAAATTGTTTAAAGCGTCTAGTATACCTTTAACTAACAAACCATAAAATTTTGACAGACCGTTATCATCATATATTAGCAACCAGAAATATATTACTGGTTTAAAACAACATTTGTAGCGATTAATTTGATAAGTTTTTGATTTCGCAATAAATATGTAATTTACGATCAGATGACTAATATAATATTGTAACATTAGTACTGTACGTGCATTTCTGGTCGAATAATTGAAAAACTTAGAAGGCTTATAAATTCGAAGAATTGTTAAACACTTATATGTTAGCAAACTTCTATAAATTGGGTTCTCAAATGCTTTCAAAGATATGGATGCATTGAAAAATTTTCGTAACACCTTTTTGTAGGTTTATTTAACATAGAAAAAAACATGGTTTACTTTTAATAGTCAACCAAATAATTAGATTTTTAAATAATTAGGGCCTTTCCAAAACAAACTAAAGCAGAAAACATTAACGGCCAGTCTTATTAGAATCATATTACCATAGAGTGCTGACTGATATATCCGGGTATTCACAATACAAAGACTTGAGTTATATCCAGTATGCATTTTTCAGTTAACTTCGCTAGTCTTCAAGGTTTTATATTAACTGGGTATTTCTAAAGCATAAAAGATACTATTCTTCGGGTCATAGTATAATTCCGGGTACAAATCATATGATCGCACTAAAAAGGGATAAATCGGATTTATGGAATATCGGAAATATAGGATCTTATCGGATTTATATCGGATTTTCGTCTTAAATTCGGAATTTGGAATTTTTATTTCGGACCACAGTATTAAATCCGAAATATTTCGGAATTAAAAAACAATTTCGCCCGAAACATTAATATAGATACAGTAATTTAAATTAAAAGATCTATCATCGAACTCAATAATTACCGAACGCAATTATCATATAAATACCATATAAATTAGCAGTGTGACGAACGAGTGATGGTTGTGTGTATTTAAAACTGCGAGATCAGGATAAACTTGTTTAGAGCTACTTGCACCATCAAAAATAATAATATTTCCATCTTTAACTAGTTTAAAAGGTATTTATTTTTAATTCTTAATTTTACGTAAATATACTCAATCATATTATTCAAATATATATTTAATCTTGCCGACTTACTTGAAACTGCAGAGTGTCCAATACGAGATTGAATAGCGATACCACTAGCAGTCTTAAATGCAAGAGATGATATAAAACTAGGAAACGGAAACCGTTATAAGTCCGGAACGAATAATATGGGATTGTTGTATTACATAAATATGCAAGTGGTAGCAGACAAAATTCAAAGTTGCGCTTTTGATATTTTTACTATATAAGTGTCAAGAACGATACTTTTGAAACATCAAAAACGTAACTTTGCATCACTTTGCATAGAAATTGAGCGTCCTCCGGACAATTATAACTCATAAACATAAAATTATACCATTAAATTAAATTTATTATATTTACCTTATTAGACCAACTCAAAGATTTTGTGTCAAATATAAGGATCTAAATTTATATAATATGATTCATGGATCAAACAAACAAACAAATAATATATACTTGAATAGTATCAGCAACCATACATCATTGATTGATATTAGCATAAGTATATGCTGACGACGGTGTCAATTTATTATAACCACCAATATAAATAATAAGGCCTGTTGGTAACAATGTTGCGGAATAATCTGTACGAGACGGAATGTCTGTGGGTAAAGTCAATGTTGACAACATCATTGAGGTAGTATAGAATAAACTCATCTCATAAAATACATTGCCTCCTCTGGTAGTGTGTCCTGCGTTATAATCAGCTCCACTAAAAATATATGCTTTTCCATTACTATTAATAACTGCATTAATCTCATTTCGGTTAATGAAAGAATTATTGAATCCATTAATAATTGGCATTGTCCATTGTAATTTTATAGGATCAAATTTATATACTGCCGTAGATGTTGAGGTCATTCTTCTTCCAATTAAATAAATTGTTGAATTATCTGATGTTCCTATACATGTGCCTAAATTATCACCAACTGGCATTCCAACAGAAACTTTTTTAAATGGTGGTGTGAATATATCGAATGTACTTGATAAATCAATATAGAAAAATCATTAGAAGTGTTTGTAATTTTGTCGCTCCACCTAAAAAATAAAGTTTGGTATTAATTAGAGCACTGCAAAGCTCATCTCGGGCATCAGGAATGTCTTGACAGATTACAAACGAATACATAAAGCTTAAAATAAAATAAAAACAAAGATTTTAAAAATTCGTCATATCGATTTATTTACGAATTCATAAGTCTTAAATTTTAAAAGAATCACTCAGAACTAGTGATGCAGAGAAACTGTTTTCTCAACTGCTTTTTAATTCCACAGGAATTGGTTTATCACTTCATTTGTAATTTCCATATTTGTCGAATTGCAAAATTGTAAAGTTATGGCGTATTTGTGCCGTCATACGTATAAGGAAAAGTCGGGTATTATGGCACGGGAAGTATTGTGGCACACTCATGTTTTTTGTTGATATATACAGTATCTTGTAACACACCGACCGGAATCGAACAATTTTAGTACCATTCGATCCCTTTTATTGAGACGAATTGAATGGTGCAATAATTAAGGTTATATGTATATATTGTAGCACAATTTTAAATAGCAGTGCGCCAAAGTACCCCACCTGAAAAAAATACATAACAATTTTTAGGTAGTTTGTGAGAGTTGAAATGCCAATTGTTTAAAAATATTGGATTTTTTTTTATATTAGATAGTAAATCGAATTCTATTTTATTTCAATAAATTTTGTAAATAAATATATTTTTCTTATTAAAATTTTTACTAATAGCAATTTTTAAGTGCGCCATAATACCGGACCTTCCCTTATATCTTGTTATTTATGAGTGTGTTGTGTCTAGAGTTGTTGGTGAAACTAAATTGAGCTGGTGAAACTGGTGACCATCTAAAATCTGGTTGGTCATTGTAGTAAACAGCCAATAAGATTTTAGATAGTCACCAGTTTCACCAGCTCAATTTAGTTTCACCAACAACTATAGTTGTGTCCAGAAGTGTTCAATATGATCTTGTATAGTAGTCGCGAGCCCTATCTCTAAAATCACATAAATTCATGTTTTCTTTATGATAAATACTAACAACCAAAGACATATGATTTTCATATTTCATCAGATTTCTATCATTTTCCTGACAACTATTTTCTTGACAAATAATATGCTGACAAAAATTGACTGAAATTATAGTTACGCTAACCTAATGCGGGCTTACTTTTCAAGATTTTGTTTGTCGGGAAAATGATAGGATCCGGTCAACTGATATCAAACTCTGCACGCTCTCCTACCAATGGTACATGGTGACTAATTTATATGTTTTACAGTACTTTTTAGGAATGCAGCGTTTAACTAATAAAAAATACACCAAATATATGTATCAATAACTTTAACCGGATGTTCTATAAAACAGATGGGCAAACTCCGCTAAAATATATTGAACAATTAATAATTAATGATCAATGACGAAGCTTATTTCTTATATTGCCCACCTATTCTATAGGACATCCGAACATGCGTTAAGCGTTATCGTTCCGAATTAAGCTTAATTTAGGCAAAATTTCAAAATTCTCTCTGGGCGTTTTTTCAAGAATTTACGGTATATAGCATTGTATGACGAAATAAATATTGACAAGTTGGTTTATTTTATGATCCAACGTTCACTGTAAATCAGATGTTTCACGTTTGATTCGTTTCGTTGAAATGAACTGATTATTAAATTATTAGATCATATTTTATTATTAATTGTATTATATTATTCAACATACTTAAATACTACCTTATTCATAATAATTAATCTAACTTTTACCTAATAAAGTTCATTAGATTATACTTCATAAAAACAATTACAAAATTTTATAGTCCCGTCATGGGTCATACATAAAATATAAACCGCCAGCGTAAACTGTAAATGTCAGATCAAAATTATCATATAAACATTAAACTAATCTGGTCTAGAGATTTAAATACGCTTATATGACTCTGCTGCTGTACTGTTCTTTATCATGTAAGTCACTATTATATAAATCTTCTGATAATAGATTTTTGCCAATATTTGTTCTATTTTTGTACCATTTTTTATAACACACGACAAGACCAGATAAAATAGCTATACAACCAATGCTTATCACAACATATAAAATTATCTTAAATGTTGAGCTATTTCCATTGTCAGCTGAAGAATCACCCTGATTAGTTGGAGTTCCATCTCTATTCGCTGGAGTTCCAGCTATATTCGTTGGAGTAACTTGGACTACTTTATTAAATGATGTAACCCAAGAATAAGTTTCTGTATTAAATATATAGATATTATTACTATATACATTTGGTCGTACAACTACTTGACTGGTTTTTCGGCCTGAACAAAAAATATATATATATTAAATAAATATTATATAGATGATTTTAAATAAAAGATTTATCATCGAACACAATAATTACCGAACGCAATGATCATATAAATAACATATAAATTAGCAGTATGACAAGTGAGCGAAGGCGGTGCATTTGTCGTGGAAATACTTGGAACAGACCATACCCAAGTATTTGTATTCAAAACTGCGAGATCAGGATAAACTTGTTTAGAGCTACTTGAACCACCAAAAATAATAATATTTCCATCTTTAACTAGTTGAAAAGATATTAATTTTTCAATTCTTAATTTTATACATAATAATATTATTCAAATACATGTTTAATCTTGCTTACTTACTTGAAACTGCAGAATGCCCAACACGAGGTTGAATAGTGATGCCACTAGCAGTCTTAAATGAAATAAGAAATAGCATAAAATTATTATTATTGCATTATTACTATTATAATTTATTACATAACATTAAATGGTTTATATTTACCACATTAGACCAACTCAAAGATTTTGTGTCAAATATAAGGATCTAAATTTACATAGTATGATTATTATTCATGAAACCAACAAATAAATAAATAACATATACTTGAATAATATCATAGGCCATACATCATTGAGATTAGCATAAGTAGATGCTGACGATGGTGTCAATTTATTATAACCACCAATATAAATAATAAGGCCTGTTGGTAACAATGTTGCAGTATAATCTATGCGAGGCAAAATGTCTGTGGGTAAAGTCAATGTTGACCACATCATTGAGGTAGTATCGAATAAACTCATCTCATAAAATACATTGCCACCTCCGGTAGTGTATCCTGAGTTATAATCAGTTCCACTAAAAGTATATGATTTTCCATTAATATCAATAACTGCACTAATCTCATTTCGGTTAATGAAAGAATTATTAAATCCATTAATAATTGGTATAGTCCATTGTAAATTTATAGTATCAAATTTATATACTGCTGTAGACTGTAAAGTCATTCTTCCTCCAATTAAATAAATTGTTGAATTATCTGGTGTTCCAACACATGTACCTAAATTATCACCAACTGGCATTCCAACGGAAACTTTTTTAAATGATGGTGTAAAAATATCAAATGTACTTGATAAATCGATATAGTATAAATCATTAGAAGTGTTCGTAGTTTGTGTCGCTCCACCAAGAAAATAAAGTTTGGTATTAACTAGAGCACTGCAATGTTGATATCGTCCATCGGGAATGTCTTGACAGATTACAAATTGATACGTAAAGCTTAAAATAAAATAAAAGCAAAATTTTTGAAAATTCTTCATATCGATTTATTTACGAATTTGTAAGCCTTATTATCTCGTTAAGTTTTAAAACAATCACTCAGAACTAGCGATGCCAGAGGGATTGTTTTCTCAACCGTTTTTTAATTCCATAATCGCCCTACCATATCATTTGTAACTTCCATTTTTGTCAAATTGCTAAAAATATAAATTTATGCAGTATCGGTATTTGTACCGTCATACGAATAAAGGGAAAGTCGGGTATTATGGCGCAAGAAGTATTGTGGCACACTCATGTTTTTTTGATAATGTAATACGTACACTGATAAGAATCGAACAATTTTAGTACCATTCGATCCCTCTTATTAAGACGAATCGAATGATACAATAATTAATCAATTCCGATCAAAACTTGAGTAAAATTAGATTTATGGTGTTGTTATTACGCTGTTTTCTCCTTTTCCTATTAGGATAATTTCAGGAGGAAAGATCACAAAGTAAAATACAAAAAGGTTATATGCATATACTGTAACACAAATTTAAATAGCAGTGCACCAAAATACCCCACCTGAAAATACATACCAATTTTTAAGTAGTTTGTGAAAGTTCGAAATACCAATTATTTAAAAAATAAGATTTATTATTTTTTTTTTATCATTAGACAGTAAATCGAATGCTACGTGTATTAAATTTTGTGAATAAATAACTATTAGCAATTTTTAAGTGCGCCATATATCCGATCTTCTCGTTATATCTTGTTATTACCTTTATGTATGGTGTTGTGTCCAGAAGTGTTCAATATGATCTTGTATCGCTCATGATACACCGGTAGAACAATAAAACTTTTTTAAAAGTTCTTTCAAAAATCTTTATGTGTATGCAACTTTTCCAAATATTTTTCAGATAAATTAAAGTTCGAAAAATATTTAGAAAGGTTGCATATTACACCAAAATTTTTTGAAAGAATCATTGTCGAAAGATTTATTGTTCTATTTGTGAATATAAGTCGCGAGCCCTTATCTCTTAAATCACATTAATTCGTGTTTTCTTTATGATAAATACTTAACAATCACAAACATATGATTTTCATATTTCTATCATTTTCCCGGTAACTACTTTCTCGACAACCAAATTCCCGACAAAAATGACTAAAACTATTGCTAATGCTAACTAATGCGGACTTACTTTTCAAGATTTTGTTTGTCGAGGAAATAAAGGTTTCAGGTTTTATTGCCAGTCCACGTCGGTCAACTGATATCAAACTCTGCACGACTGTAGCAAGCTCTCCTACCGATGGTACATTGGTAACTAATTTATATGGTTTACAGTACTTTTTAAGAATGCGACGTTTCATTAATGAAAAATACACCAAATATATGTATTACAGTAATAACTTTAACTTGCTTGAAAAACTAAGTAATTAATCGATTATAATTTTAATTACCGTAAATTCTCGAAATAACGCCCATGACAGCTATTTCGAGAATTTACGGTACATCTCAAAATTAAATATAAAATTCAATATTTATTGTTAATAAGTACCACACTCTACCTCATTTTTTATATAGTGATTAGCGGGAATAATTTGACTAAGACTTCATTGCGATTTCCGTTAATTTAACATTTAAAAATTGGTGTAGAGGGTGTGGCTTTTTACGATAGGATACGGTAAAGGTGGTTGTCTTCTATTGTTCTTTTACACCTCATAGAAAGATATGAATTACAAAGTTTTTTTTTTAAGGATAAATATGGCAGTCTTATACCAGAAATTCCTTTAAATGCTATAGACAATTGGTTTTTTATTTTTGTTTTTATTTACATTTATATTCGTAGTTGACAAAACTTCATTGGCGAAAATATATAATTAAATTAGAGGTAAAATTTTTATGCATAATTAATTAAGCTCGATTGTTAAATTCGCAATCAATTTGCTACATATTGTGTAATCTATCTTCTATTTATGTCGTCACCTTATAGAATTGAAATGGCAGTAAAAAACTTTCGAATAACTATCATGAACATCTTGATAACAAAGATTTATACTAATATTTAAGCGCGTTCAAATATTTTATAATTGAATGGTTCAAGACTAAATGCAAGTTAATGAGATAATTATTAGATAATATTAGAACATACCAACAGTAATTAGAAGCTTGGTACGTAGTAATATATATATAAATTTTAGCTTAGGCCATATAAAGTTAATTTTTGATTCTCATAACATAAATCGAAAAAAAAAGACTCACCCGCCCGGACTTTTATTTAAAAATTTTAAAAATTTTTTACTGCTATTATCAGCCGATCCGATTAAGCTATATATTTCAGGTATAACGATAATAAGTTTCAGTAATAGACATATCAAATATGTAATTTAATAAGATCAGGTAACTAATATATATTACAATAAGACTAAATATTGACATGCATACTTGTCGTTCTTGTAAGTCGTAAAATTCAATCATATTTTTTGGCACAATTCATTTTTGCTTAAACGAAGCCTTTATCCATTTCTAATTATTTTCGACGCAAATTCGGTTTTAAAAATTGTATAAATTTCAATTCCTATTCTTTGGTAAGAGCTGATTATTTTTCGACGAAATTTGGTTTAAAAAAATTGTGTAAAATTTCAATTCTTAATCTTTGGCAAGATCCGTTTTCGTTCAAACAAAACATTTATTCATTTAAATTATTTTCGTTTCTTGTCGAAGACGAAAAATTCATTTTTAAAAAATCAAACTAAATTTCGATTCCTATTCTTTGGCAAGATACATTTTCGTTCAAACGAAAGCATTTATTTATTTCTAATTATTTTTCGAAGACGAAAAATATATAAACAAATATAAACATATAAAAGTTTTTACTTGGATTTCGTTTATCATAATTCTTCATGCATTCTCGACAAAAATCGCTTGGAATCTTAACTAGAGATTCATTTTTAAACCAGTCGACAAATTCATGTTCAAATTTAACTTTTTTCATAGAGGCACCTGTTCGTGTAATATATTTGTTATAAAAGTCTAATTTATATTCGGATCCTTTTCTTTTCCATAAATTTTTGTACAAACTAAGCACACCAAACATGTTGGACAAGCACTTGAACGAAAATTTAAAAAAAGTTGACATTATTGTTATGATATAACGATTGTAAATTATCATTATGATACCAAAATAGCTTTTACGTATTATTTTTATTATTATATGGACCAAATAACTTAGCCTGATCGGCCGAAAAATCATTCGGTCAATTTTTATCAAGTGTTCAAGGAATTATGAAAGTAGCTGTAAAGTAACAAGTTTTTTGTGCAACTACAAAAAAGAAATCTTTCATGGATTCGGATCGGATCGAATCCGGATCTGCATGATACGGATTAGCTTGGATTCTATTCGTACTTCGGATCGAATCCAGAAATATTCGCCAGATTCAATCCGTGCGAAACACTAGTTTTTGGGGTCCTGTATATTTTACTTAGTTATCTATATGTACTGTAATTCACAGTTCACATCTCTAATCATTATTTATCGACTTGACTAAGTCTATATTTAAGGTTTGGCTTAGCTGTCTAAGTCAAAGTCGATTAATATTTTGACCATCGGAGCTTATCGGAATCAGAGATTTCATCAAATTTTTGTCGCGACCTTGCTCGTACTATGTACTAAGAGAGGTAATGTATCAAATCTGATTGGTTAATATAATCTAACATAAAATCGATTCTTTGAAAAATCGGCTGACTAAGCCGACTAAGCCGGCTAAGTCGATAAAATCGACTACCGCGAAATCGACTACAAACACTACTTTGAATTAGGTTAAAGTTGTGCTTCTAATTTTGTCATGTGTATTACAAATTTTAACTATGACCAATTGTTACACGAAAAAAATATAACAAATCTTTATATGATAGTAGAACCCCAACGTGTTATCATTTACATAGACTCTGCACTCATAAATTTGATTGCGTATTCGTTATTTACTATATATGAAACTTCCCAATTAAGGGGAACCGTTAAAGCCAGGTGCCATCACGAAATTTAATTAAAAAATTATTAACGTTAAGGTTAGGGTCCGGTTAGAGTCTGTATGGGCTAAGGTTAGAAAATTCTTATAGATAAAATCGTTCCCGACATTTTTTCTTAATAAATCAAGATAGGTTTAGACATTCGTTTCTTGTATTTTTCGCATTTTTTACAAAATATCGCAACTTTGATTGGTCACATAATATAGAAAATCTCGTGATGACCCTGGCTTTAACAATTAAGGGACACTTCAAGCCCAATGATCATCTCGTCACATGAAAACATACAATACGTCATCTGTTTACTAGCATCGACCCAAACTATCACCTAACCCTAACATTAACCCTAACACTAACCCTAACTTAGGCCTAGGGATGTTAAATTGATCCGATCTGGATCATGAGATCAAGGATTAATGGTCCGATCTAACCAGAATTAGAATTATTTCTATAATGCAATTGCAGATCTCGGGGATCAAGATCAGAACATTGGAAGATCTATCATGATGATAGATTTTCCATAGACAGCTAACGCTAACTGTACTGTACACAAAACATAATCGAAAGTCCGATGATTATTTTTCATTGTGCGGACTGTGCGCAGCACATTTTGCAAATAGTTTCTCGTATGTAACTGGTAGTTTTTTTTTTATTTGTCACACAGAACCTTTGACGGTTGGTATTTATTTAATAGTTCAGACTGAAGGTGTTGTAAAAAAGACTTGCTTAACACAATAAAATTTTCTTTATATTTAACCATTTTGGTATAAATTTTTATTAGTACGTATAGACTTCCAAATCGGGGCATATAAACTTTATATGTCCAATAGACTTTGTCATACTTTAATGCAGTAATGAAAAAAAAAATCCTATAAACGAATAATTTGTCCTAATTCAGAAAAAACTATAAATATTATAAATATCGAGAATAGAAATACTTCACCCTTTATAATACAGTACGTATCATCATGTCTTTCATCAAAGACACTTTCACCAAAGTTAAAACCGAAATTGAACATTTTGGTGAAAAAGAATGGCATAATTGGGGCCAAAATCAGAAATGTACACCTGATGAAATTTTTCGTCCTGTAAATTTGCATGATTTAAAAAAAATTGTCAAAAAAGCAAAGGAAAATAATAAAAAAATTCGATGTGCTGCTGCAGGTCATACTTGGAGTAGCTTTAGCGTTACTAATGGATATTTAGTAATAGTTACTGATTTGAATGATATTGAGATTCAATATAATGAAAGATTGAAAACTTGGACAGTTACCACCGAAGCAGGTAGGAAGGGCATTCTTAAAGATAATCAAATTCGCGGTTTTGCTTTTTAATACTTTTAATTAATTTACTCGATTGAATTTATAGGTGTATACCTTAAAGATCTCGATGAAAAATTAAGGAAACATGACCCTCCATTGACATTGGATGCTGCAACTGTATTGAATACTGTGACAACATCTGGCATTGTGTCGACGGGCTCTCATGGTGCGAGATGTATAAATTCAACCATCCCAGAAAAAGTTATCTCTTTTCAAATTGTAACTGCCGATGGTGAACTTCGTGAGTTCTCTGATGAGATAGATCCTGTTGAAATGAGTGCCGCTAGAATCAGTTTTGGTAATTTTTTTTAAATAAAAAATAAACAAACATATAAAATTATGTACTTATTATATCTGGTTTTTAAACATTGATTCTGTACTAAAGGTCTCTTAGGAATTATATATAAGCTCACTCTTAAAGTCGAACCAATGTTTAATCTCGTAATGAAAGATACCTTCCCTGCAATTTCAGATTATTGGGAACCAGCAAACCTCAAAAATGATGTATTGAATAATGATAGCGTTGAAATTTTCTATTGGCCATTCAATACACCAGGTCTTGAAGGAAAAAATGATAAACTTTGGGTAAAAACTTGTAAGAGAACCGATTTGAATGCTACGGAGATTCAAAAAGAAGTGAAATTGGTGTCGGCCTACCAAAATTTTGAACTCGAATTTGGGGATCACATTTATGAACACCTTATTAAATTTCCGGAATCTACCCCATACATTACTCACCTTCTCTTTAAAACTGGTGTTGAATATGAAAGTGAAAACATTATACCAGCTCCTGATGCAATTCATTATCAGGTGTGTTTTTTTAAATATTAATTTTAAATATTTTTAAACTGTATTAATTTTTTTTCTTGGATTTTTCACAGAAAGGTATTGATCACATTCCTTGTATGGACCTTGAGTTTGCTATCAAGATTAACCATGTAAGTAGACGTTTAAAATAGAGATTGGAATTAATTACAGAGCATCGATCATCAAGTTTTTTTTAATCAAACATTTACTTCATATAAGAAGTTAAATTTACGCAATAATAATAATACCGACATTGTCTCACAAACTGATTTGATTTTAATATAAAAAATTCATTGATGCACGAAAAATTCGAGCTTATGATAAAATTAATACTCGAAATTCATCAATTCCAATCTCCAATTTGATCATAGATATGAGATTTGATTATAGCGTATACCAACTAACAATTATACTATAAAAATCAAGGATTTTTCAAATGTCATCGACGAAGTCAATTACATTGTTAAACGGGTAATGTTTATAAAACTTTATGCAATGTAATTAATTTTATACCCATTTGTAAATTATTCTTAACCTCTCTTTCTTCCTTTCACTTTTAGCTTTATGAATTTGCTACAGATAAACAATATCCATTAAATCTTACAGTAGAATTTCGAATCAACAAGGCATCTAAATGTTTGCTCGCTTCAACGTATGACGAAGACCCAGATGCATATTATTGTTTACTTGAAATTTTATCTATTAATGGTACTCAAGGTTTCCTTGATTTTTCAAGTGAGCTAGCCGAAAGATGGATGAGTAAATATAATGCTCAACCGCATTGGGGTAAAATGTGGGAACATGTACCTGGTATTATTCCATATGTACGTAAACATTTGGGAAAACGTTTGAATGAGTTTGAAAGGATCAGGGCGAAATATGATCCTGATGAACGTTTCTTTGACAATGAATCTTTGAGACAAATTTTTGGCAAATAATATTATAAATTATTTATTATAATATCTGATATTATTTGTTTTCATTTTATTTAACCCGTATATCAATATATTATATTTTATCTCGTGAGCCGCCACATTGGCTTTTTACCAAAAAAGGGAAATTGCTCCACACACTATCATTCACTAGTTCCCAGTCCGACTCGACTTCATGAAGTCAAGTTTTAATTTGGACTCGGTCCCAAGTTAAACTTGGGACCGAGTTCTATAGTCAACCAATATTCAACAATTGTAACGAGATTTTTTTTTTTTATTAATCATAAAATTTGGATGAATAGGACTTTCAAATTTATAAACACATGTAGTTAATTAAAGTTATATTTGTCTGTTGTCTGTTGACGAATTATAAACGACCTCTGCTAAATCTATTTTGCAAAATCAATTTAACTTTATAAAAAGAACCGTTTTAGTCAAAGAACGGTTAGAGATTGTACCTGTATAAGCTACTCGGTTAACCGGGTAATTATATACAGTAGTCATAATAATATTTTCTACGATTTCGAGGATAATTATTGGCATACATTTTCTGGTAAAAAAATTTATCCGGTCGATTACGACTATGCCTTATAACGAATATTGACGATTTTTTAATTAATATGGTAAAAAAATAAAAAGACGATTGCTATTTGTACACCAGGTGTATGTACACACATATATTGATATCTCAAAATCCTGATTATATAATAGCTTTTGGGGTTCTAACAAAAAATATTCCTTGCAAAATTTTAGTATAAACTATAACCTCATCTAACCCTAAAGCTACTCTCACTCTAACCTTAAGCTATACTAATTTTTCATTTACAATTTATATATTAAACAAATTGTAAATCAATAAATTAGTATGTGTGTATATACACCAGATGTAAATTAAGAAAATTTCCATATATTATATATATTATATATATATTTTTGAATCTGATTGGTTAATTGGCTATTTTGTATAATATAATCAGAATCCTAACCATGTATTCATGGTATAATTATGTAATAAATAACACTCTCTAAAGTGGATTCAAAATAAATATATAGAATTTGGCTTGTAGTAGTAATAGCAATAGAGAAGTAGATAAGTTATTGCTGGTGTTAAATGGAAGAAATCCTACTCTGTACAAGATGAATTTATATTTTGCTTGCTTTAGGAAGAAAAAAACCAGAAGTATTTAGCTAGATGCAAAATTTATAAAAACTTTTAAAAAAGAATTAAAAATAAGATCTTTGATAAAACCTGTAAAGAAAAAAAAAAAATAAAGAGCAAATTTGCTTACTCAAATTAGCTTTAAAGAGAAATTAATAGAACAAAGCCAAGAAGAAAGAGTCAAAAACAAAATCAATTGTATTAGAGATATTTTTTAAAATATTGCAGATAAAAGCAAAAAGTATAAAAAGTTTAAAAAAAGATATAATTATAAGCTATAAAAAAGATTTCAAAAAGTAATTTGAATTTGGTAGTTTAAATATAAAGTTCTTAGTAAGTAAAAGCAATACAAAGTATTACAAACAGGCTAAAAAAAAAAACAAAAAGAAGTAAGTCTAGTAATAAAAATAGAAAAAAAAAAAAATAATAAGCAAACAGAAGTTTAGCAAAAGAAAAGAAGCTAAAGTATAAAATAAAGTTAGTGTTAAAATAAAAAACTAATTATATTCAATATAAAGACAAGGTAGTTAGGCCTGTATAGACCACTGAAATCTAAAGTATAAATACAGTTTTAACAAGGTTAGCAACTACTATTCAAGAATTTTATGAGTAATTTTTTAGCAAGTTAAAATCCAAAAGTGAAGTAAATAGTTACTATAGTAAATTGTATCTAGATACTATAGAGCAGCTAAGTAAGCTTTTATTGAAAAAAGAAAGAGTTACAAACTTTAGCTAAAAACTTTTATATTATAAATATAAATTCCTTGTATAATAAAAAAATAATCAATTCTTATTTTTAAAATATAAAACCTTTTCCAATTATGTAAAAAGCTTTCATTAAGTTTAATAAAGATAAGAGCATAGTCTCACCTTTAACATTAAAAAAAAAATAAATAAATAATCAAAAAAATAACTAGTTATTAAAAATTATTTGCAAATAAAAATACAAATAAAATAATAAAAACTAAAATTTTGTTAAACTTTAATAGGTTTTATTACAAAAAATAATTTTTTTTTTTTTTTGAAGTTATTGATATTTTAAATGTAGAAAATTACAAGAACTTCTAGCACAAATTGTATTTATAGTATTGAATTTAATCTAATCAGTCTATATCTGATATATTATGAATAGTGATATTACCAAAATTGATTTTCAAAAAAAGCCTATTTTATTTCTATTAAACCAAATTAAAATTTTTTATAAGAAGGAGCAAATAAAATTTATATATTTAAAAGGATCTATAGTAACTCTCTTCTGTATATATAAGGCAAAGAGAGTAAAATATTAAACAGACAAAATACCCAATATATCTAGGAGTAAAACCTCAAACAGTTCAATAATAACAAAGGCTAAAGCCCTTGTTTCAGCAAAGAGAAAGGCTACAAAAGCTTTACTTCAAGAACAACCAAATAAAAAATACAAAATTATAGATTCTCTTAACAAAGAAGTCAAGATTAAAGGCTCTTCTGGTCTTCAATACACAGAACCTAAACCAAACACAAGTATTTTGCTTACAAATCCCATCAAAAATACAAAGAAATATGAGTTAACTACTAGCAAGGAAAGTTGAAATAATATTGTATTTTAAGAAAACTTTTGGCTAAACTCGAACACATTTTACAAAAAACAGAACTGGGTAAACAAAACAACAAAGCAATGCATGTGTCTGAAAAGGTTCCAGAAAGTTCTGCATCATTAAGTCATGTAGAAACACTACCTAAAAGTCCTGAACCTTCTGTGAGTCCATATGTATATATTCTAACTAATGAACTAAGACAAGAAGCTACTCAGGATAAAGCCTCACTTAAACAGTGGTTTAATTTCTTCCCAAAGCTAAAAAGAGGCCAATCTACCTTTTCAACATTTTCTTCAAGAGAGCAAATTAAATTTAAAAATGATAATATTCTAATTATCAATATTTCAAGAATTCATTGTTTTTTTAATAAAATAATGTTCTTACTTTTTGAAAATGTTAAAGACAAAGTTATTGCTACTAAGCAAGATCTTAAAAAAGGCACTTGCTCTCATTTAGAAATTATTTTCGCGAATCAAAACCTACTCAAAAAATATACTAGTAATAGAGTGATAATTCTAGGTAAAACCTACTATGGCTACATCCCAACAGATACTTGCAAATCCTTCTTACCGGTCAAAATTAGAAATATGCCACTAGGTGACAAAAACCAAATCACCAACCTCATCCAAAAGGCTTTTGAAGACATAGATGATATCTTCTCTATCAAACCTCTTCTGATTGAAGACACTTCTTATTTAACAGACCAATGGATTATCATTTTTGAAAACACAAATAATTCAAACCTAGAGAGTAAAATCTCACATTTTACTCAAGTTGGTGACAATAAGGTTACTACAGAATAGAAATCAGCTTCAAAAGTTTGCTTTTTCTGTGATCAAGAGGGTCATATCAAGAGGGAATATGAACAACTCCAAGAATCACTCAGACTTTAGGATCATTATTGTAAATTTAGAGAAGAAGTTAGAAAAACAAGAGAGAAGAGATCAATAAACAGCCCACTACAAAAGATCCTGTATTACCTTTGCAAGAAGAACCAGCAATAACTAAAATACAAGAGAAACTTTCAAAAGAAAACATTCCTGTTTCAAACTTGGAAGAAAACCCCAAAGAGAATACTGAAAACTCAGCTAATCTTAATACAATGATGATACACACAGAAGAGGCAACTAAGAAGAATGATAAAACTGATGACAAACTAGAATCTCTCTATATTCAAGAAGAAATAGAAAATCAATGTTTGCTCAACAAAGCTCCAAGAGATGAGCTAACAATAGAGGATCTAGCTTGAACCTTTGCTTTACAAAAGTCTGATACGAGTGAAAAAAAAAATACTCTGCCTAATATAAACGATGAAGGCTTTATCACAGTATCTAATAAAAAGAAAAATAATAGAAAAATCACTAAAAGCAGGTCGAATCAGGATATTATAGGATCTACCTCTTACCAAAAGAGCAAAGATAAGCACAGACCCACCTTATAATAAACAAATCTTATCTTTATTCTATGACAAAAAACCCAAAAATTTTTATAGCTACACTAAATGTAAAAAAGCTAAATGACTATGAAAAATAACAAAAAATGTTAATGTTAATTAAATCATACAAACTGGATATAATTGTAATTCAAGAAACAAATCTTAGTAACCAAAATACCCACAATATTGAATCAATCTGAACTGACAAAACTGCAATACTGGCTAGCAGAAGAGATTTAAAACTTCAAAACTCTCAAACCTCCCATGAAGGAAGAGTTATTATAGCTGATATCTCATATAAAAATCATCTTTTCAAGATTACAAATATCTATGCTTTACCAAACATGAAAGACAGAATAGCCTTCTTTGAAAATTGGATTCCTCCTTTTAATAAAGACAAGATAAACATTATTGTAGGAGATTTTAATACAAATCTAGACCCAACTATAAACAGAATAAGCCAAGCCAATGCACAAAATAACCTATTAAGATTACAACTTAAAAGGCTATTAAACAACTTCCTGGACTCTGTATCTCTTTTGAAGAAAAAATCTTTTTTTATATTCTACCAGAATACAAGAAATAATTAGTCTATAGCTACACATCTAGACTATATTTTTATAGATGAGAACTATAATTTTTTAATCAAAAAAACTGAAACTCTCTATGGAAACTCAGATCACCTGCTAGTCAAATGTATTCTTATTCTAGAAAATGAAGCAAAAAAGCCATCTAGTTGGAGATTCGATAAAGACTCTTTTAGAAACAAATTATTAGAAAAAGAAGCCATTGAAGAAATTTTTAATTTGTCAACTTAGCATTAGACTGGGACTGGCACAAAGTTTGCATTCAATCAATTATAAGAGCCTTCAAAAAACCCAAAGCTCCTAAAAGTAAGATAATGATTCTGAATAAAAAAATAACCAAACTTAAAGACTCTTTAGCAGCAAATCCCAAACAAATATCTATACAATCAAAAATAAATGATTTTAACATATAGACACAAGAGGAGCTCTTCCAACTAGCAGAGAGATGGCTGACTTACTCAAAAGCCAATTGGGTCGAACAAGAAGAAAAATCTACCAGATACTTCTTCTCACATTTCAAAACCCAGAGCAGTAACTCTGCTTTGAAAGAAATTGAGATCCTGAAAGCTAATATACAAAATAAAGAAGATCAAACACTACAATACATAAAAGAAAAATATACTGAAATCTACAAAGATGAGAGTATAGACTTAGAAGCAGCTGCTTCGATCATAGAAACACTTCCTACGATCTTGCAACAAGAAAACTCCAAACTTACACAAGCTATTTCAAAAGAGGAAATAACAAATATGATCAGAAATCTTCCAAACAATAAATCTCTAGGCATTGATGGATTAATATATAAATTCTACAAATTAACAGAAGAATATATAACTCCAATCCTAGAAATCATCTTTAACCAGATCTTGAACTCTAGAAATTCTTGACACAAAAATCTAATTACTCTTATCCTAAAGAAATCCTCAGACTTAAGCAATATAAACAACTAGAGACCTATCTTTTTAGTAAACTATGATGCCAAAATCTTTATGAAGATTATTGTATCTAGACTAAATAGAGTCTGCAATACATTAATTCATCACATCAACAAGGTTTCATTACAAAAAGATCAATCTCAGATGGTTCTTACAACTATAAGAAACTAATCAGACATTTCAAAGCAATACTAGCTACTCCTAGTAGACCAACAAAAAGCTTTTAACCAAGTTAATCACAAATTCTTGCAAATAGTTCTTTTAAAGATAAGCTTCTGTATAAAATTCACAAATCTAATAGAAAACCTCTTTGCAAACCAAATAGCTCCTATCTTCGAGAAGGGCTCTCTCTTGGAACTATTCAGAGTTGAAAGAGGAGTTCGACAAGAAGGCCCCTTTCTTTTTTATTATCCCTTCGTGCATTATGCAGGCAAATTTGCCTGCAAAATTTATTTTTTGCATAATTGCTAAAAAAGTAGATATGAAAGAGTCCCCTAAAAAATATTTAAAATAATT